ACAATTTCCTCCGAATTCCTTTACATATACAGAGATATTCCTGCGCTGAATCCAAACTTTCGTTAAATCGCCCGTAAAATATCGGATTCTCCTTGATATTAAGTTCTTAAGAAGAATAAATCTAATAAAATATACGCAGACAATCGAGAAACGAATGGCGTTTCGCGATGTTTCGGAGACGATCGGAAATAATATATCTGTATCAAAATGCTATTTTTCACGCTATTCTGTAGTTCCTACGGATGTCAATATTTTCGTTATATTTTTACGATATTCGCGTGCCGTGCATTGTTTTTTTTTTCTTTTTGCCCCTCTATCTTGGCAAAATCGGCGATCTGATTTATCTGTTTCATCGGTCAAAGTACAATATGGCAATAAAGTGCGATACAGCAATAAAATGTTTTTGATCTTTTTGCAGATCACGTTTTATTTTTACTTATTCGGCACGATCTTCCTGCTGCTGGATTCGTATGCCAAAGCGACGAAATTGCCTCCTATGAGAAGTATGTATAGCGCTTGCTATTATCATCAAGTACATTTACCGGGGGAAGCGATGGCATTACAAACACGCGGCGGTGGAATGTCCCATCTTTTGGAACACGTCGCGAAACATCACCGGAAGAACGTGATTCATTTCATAGTTGGCAAATAACTTGGTAATAGCGAAAAAATAATGACGGTGCCGTTAGTTGCCTCTCTAACCCGATATTTTTACGTAACACGCGTCAGCATCGATCTTCGTGTGTTTTCAGACTGAAAGCTCCCAGAAGTTCAATATTTTTCGGCTGACGTCAAAAAAATTAGGGGATGTTCCTCGCGTTGAAGCTTGACTTTGTTATCGATCAACAAAGGTGACTCTTCTTGGCGCAAGATGTTTAGACATCAGAACAGAAATTTCGAATATGCGACAAGATTCATAAAGAGACCTTCAGACGTTTCACGGCGCAATTAAAGAAGAACCACACACGTCACACAGTGACGTTTTCTTTTCATCAGTCTTCAAAATTTATTCGTGGAATAATCATCAATGTTAAAAAAAAAATTTATGTTTAAACACATATGTCTATTCTGTACATTTATTTTAATAATAAAGTTGTAACAAAACGGTATGTAAAATAAGAAGATATAAAATAACTTTTTTAAATTGACATATAATTAATTTTTTTTACTTATTTTTTATTTGTCGTTTATAACATAGCTTTTAAACGCAAAATTTATTTTGTCCAATGAAATTATAGCTTGCGGTACCACGGATGAAAAAGTAATATTCACGATTTACTGACAGTATTGTGAAAGTTCTTGGAGCGTAATATTTGTGGACAGTTCAAAAAGAAATCCGCTCGAATGCGGTTTAAAGACGAATGGAAAAATTGGTCGTGCGTATCGTATAAGTGCCTTCTCCGAGAGCACGGAGCGCCATTTAAATCGACTCACCCCCTACTTACTTTTCAAAGGGTGAAAGCTGCGCGACGAACGTATTGTCTGACAAACAAAATCACGCCGATTTGTCGCCGTGATAGCGACTTTGATCGACGCATCGGGCGATAATTTTATGCCAGAAGTCGAGACTCAACTGAAATCCCGTCAATGGCGAGCGCATCTCGATACGACAGCAATTGTTGAAACCGACGTACTTAATTTCGACGAGCTTAAATTACGATGTCACAAACACGCGAAAATCTTTACACTGAAGCCGTTTGTCCTGACATAATGACATAATACATGAAAGCAAGAAAGTAGCGATATTCATGATAAAGTTCTTTATATCAAAATCCTATCCTGCAAACAGCAGAGAGTCGCTTCTTCAGTGACAAATGAAACAGTACGATTAAAACACAAAAGATAAAATAAAACAAACGAAAAAATTAATTTAAATCTATCCCTCAAATTAAGTCTCCATTAATACAAGCTATTGTTACGCTGAGCGGCTAGCGTTTATTAACGGCGATAAAAAAGCAATAATTGAGGAGAGCGGAATATTTTTTTGTGTCTACTGCACGGAGAATTAAATTCACCGAAACCTTCTCGGTTTCACTGCTTTTATCCTTCTAATAGACTTTTAAGCGGGTATATAATTTGCCTCGCGCGAATAAAATTTCTTGAAAATGGGTCGCGCGATGAATAGCGATTAAAAAAATAAATCCGGCCTGTATCACTTTGTCTAAAAGAGCCATCGGCAATATTTGATCGACATCAAAAGCTCTTCTTCGAATTAATAAAAATATCTTCATTACGTAGTCAACGATAGGCGAAGGCACATGGGCGGAAAATATAGGACGGAATGTCGCCTGGGAATGTAGCGAGTGAATTGAATATTCGCAACGCGTTCGGGCATCGTAAATATTGAAAATTAATATATTTCTGCATAACTTACTTCTCTCTCTCTCTCTCTCTCTCTCTCTCTCTCTCTCTCTCTCATCCAACTTACTTCTCTCTCGGCCAACTACGCTTCGCGAATTCGTGATGCGTCGAACTAATTCATTTCAGAAATTCATTTCAGAGATCGTGAGTCGTATAGGCTACGCCTAATTTGGTATACGTACTGAATTTCAGAATAGCATGAACTACGAGTTCCGCAAGTAATATGCATTATCAAGGAGAGCTTTTGTTTCCGGTCTTTCTTGTTTTCATTCATATGCCATTATGAAGCATTATTAAAATTAAAGCGCTGCACGGAAAAAACAATTCTATCGGGATCTAAAAATTTGGCCAGACACAAATCTGAAAAATAATTTTGTTCGGTTCATTAAAATAATTATATAAGATAATACTTTAAAAATTTTTTTATATTCCAATAATCAATTTGAACCACCTACATAATTATTTTGATCCAACAAAATTATTGTTTAGATCTATATCCACGGCCAAATTTTTCAATAAAATTATTCTTTCCGTGTATCGCTTAACATGAGAAATTATTAATTTTATTTTAAATAAAAAAAAATTCTAATCTAATCTTGTTTTATTATTCCTTAAAGTATTATTTTAAATATTAAATAAACTAATGTAAACTTTTCTTTTTTTTTATCTTTTTTAAGAAAAAAGGTTTTTCATTTTTATAGCTTTATAAAAATGCTTGATTGCGAGCAACAAAGAAATATACAATTCTCAATTTTAGTTAGTATTTTGACGTTACAAATGTAGCTATAATCTTTCGTAATAAAATATTCAGGAAACATTGCATCTCTGGGGAAAAATAATCAAGTTACTGGCACACATTTAACACATTTCCATAATTAACGCGTGTGTCTGATGTATCACGAAAGGGAGGCTCCGATTGCAAGTACGTCTAAGACATGTTGTCAAGTTTGAAAAGCGACTTAGCGTTGTGTACAGGTCTAAACTTTACGCAGCGACATAAATTCATCTAACGACGCGCTTACTAAATGCTCCATGACACAATCGCTCATATGCGAAGCTAAAACGTTGATCATCCGCGGAATCATCATTTTGATGATAAATCATCACGCGATGAAATATACAGTTACAGGACTAAACGTAATACCTGATAAATTACACCTAAAAGCCGTATTGAGTGAAATCACGAATGCGATCTCTATTGATGTGGAAGTATACCCCTAATAATATATGTTGTTTTCACATATATGTTAAAATGAAAGCAATAATACAGGTGGAAAGCAACGCGGTGAAATGAATAAATATGACAAATGAGTGATGCGTGCAGCGGAGCAGTTTAAACAATCTGCAAATAAAGCGAAGTAATACGGGAAACAGAAGTTTTGCCGCACAAAATGACAAACGTTCATGGAACGATGGAGATCGAATATCCATATTTTTCTATAATTATTGCCAATTAACAGAGAGTTACCGGTTTGATATAAACTTGCACTCGTGTTATTAAATTCTTTTATCTTTTGGTAAAGAGAAAGAAAGTGTATATACAAGAAAGTATTAACTATTACATGTATTCTTTGGATAAACAAATAGGATAATTTATTAAGATAATACTTGTATCAGCTGCTGCCAAGGGTCAAACTTTAGATCTTGGATGTGTGTAATAAATGGAGTGAATAGATGAGTCTGCGGGCGAAGATGATACAATCGGATTTTAATCTCCTCGGAAAAGATCGATGTATAAACCTAGAGAATTTCAGAAGAAGTTTGGTCTGAGTAGACAGAATTTTCCTTTTCAACAAATTTATCTGACCGGACAAAGATAAATTCACATGAGAAATTATAGAAAATTTCCTCGATAAAGTTTTATGGGAAATTTATTATAATATTATTATACTTATACTTATCATAATTATATTATATACTTATTATAATTATACATGTTATACTTAAATTTTATGGAAAATTTATTATAATATTATTATACTTATACTTATTATAATAAGTGATATATTTCGATTTAACGTTATTAAATGAATATCGCTGATCTCTCAATTTTTAAATTCAATTTTCTAGCAGATAAAAATGTATGTTTCGTGTAAACAGATTTTACTGTGTACATTTTCAACTCGCATTGTAAAGCTCGTGTAAAGCCACTTCTCGATTGCATTGCCAATAACAGAGTCAACAACAGTCCATGCATAAAATTCTCCAAATATGTCTAATCGACCGTTTGATTAAAATAAATCGTTCGATAACGTTCAATGCTCCGGGATTGCTCCGAGATATTGCCACGTCGTTTAGAGCATTACGCGTCAAATATCTGGAATATTTTGCACAGGGCGATAAGCGGGATCCTATTGGACGGATGGCACAGCCGTTACTCTCTCCGAGGGGGTTGAAGTTAAGGGTTGGATGCGTGGTGGATGGGCGCGTGGCCCGATACCGAAGACCGGAGCGCTCCGCGGTCGTCACTTGTCCACGGTCTGTCGAGTGGAGCACTTTTCACCCCGTTGTATATTCCGCGTATTATTAACTTGGAAAATAAATGGACCGGTTCTCGAAAAAATATCTACGAAATCGAGCGATTAAAGTCGACAGTGGCAGTGAACGCAGTCGTTATTTTTAAGAGGGATAATGTCGGTTAACGACTCGACATCCGCGTGATGTTCGATTTGACGTGTCGAAAAATGATTGGCTGCCTTAAGTTTTCTGTGTTCAATAAGAATTTAACAGTGTTGAAATGATCATGACCGTTGAAAGAAGAAAAACTGAGCTTCCTTTCCTCTATCCAGGATAGAATCGAGTATAGTGAACTCGAATGACTCGATACTCGATTGAGTGACACTGATTGGGAGAAAACAATCACTCGGGCTGATGAAACGCACAAAGTATGGAATTTTCGGGCCGATATATCTTGCCCATCGACAACATCACGGACCTGATGAACCTGACTGAGTCCGAGTACGTGAGATTGATCTGGGGACCGAAGTATCTGCCGCTGAAGCTCGTGCTGCCGGTCACCCTTGTCTACGTCACGATCTTCGTCACCGGCGTCTTCGGCAACGTGGTCACCTGCATCGTCATCAGGCGAAATCCCGTCATGCAAACCGCTACTAATTATTATTTATTCAATCTAGCAATATCAGACCTGCTTCTTTTGATTCTCGGTGAGTCAAGGTTTTTTTGTCATCGTAACTATCTCCTCTCTTCAGTTGTATTCCTCTTCTTTCTTCACTTTTCGAAATTTCTAGTATCTTTTATTTTTTTTTATTTTTTCAAATGTACAATAATATATATTACACGAAAATAAAATCTCGTTATTTAATTTATAATTTATAAAGATAAATATAAACGTCATGTTTATTACACAATATATTAACCTGCTTAGTACATTGTTGCTGGATTTCAAAAATATTTTGATATTTAGGATTAAAATTTAAAATATATTTGACAAACTTTTGTAAAATTATAATATTACAATATTAATTATAATATTAATTACAATTATTATATTACAAGTTATACAAGTTCTTTTATATTTTTAAAATGTGAATTAAATCATTCTAAGTTTCAGTCATGTTTCTCTCTTTAGTTCATGTCTCATTCAAAAGTTATAATTGTATAATTAAAATTTTAATGTATTCTGCAACGTGTAAACAGTTAAAGTGTTTCAAAATTGTATATTAACTTTGCGAATAAATATATAGTTAAGCGTTAAGATTTAGATATTCATTAAATATTTCTCAAACATTACTCCTATAACACGCTTTTGTGTTTGTGTTTTCTAATTTAGTATGTTCATTACAATAAATTATTAAATTGTTATCTTATAAGTAATACAAGTTATTTATTAGAATTATAATATATCCAAAATATTCCTTTCTCTTTTAGAGAAAACAATTTTGCGAGCAAATTTAAAAATTTGGCCAAATACAAATTTAAAAATAATTTAAAAATGTTGGTTCTTTAGAATTATTATGTAGGACTTTAGGGATTTTAAAGGGAGGATTTTAAAGGGAGGATTTTAAACTTGATAATAATATCGCAAAAATTTTTAATTTTCTATTAATTTGCATGTCATACATAATAATTTTGAAAATTCAACAAAATTATTTTCAGATCTGTATTTGGTTAAATTTTAAAATTTGCTAGCAAAACTGTTCTTTCCGTATTCAAAATCGGGAAAATAATATGCAAGATTTATTATGAATTATGAAATTATATAGAAAATACAAAACTTTAATTAACTAGAATACAAAATTGTTTTACTCTTGAGTTTAATGCAAGTTTAACTTCCTTATTCAGATTAAAGAATTTCGAAAAGTTTCTTCCTTCTCTGAGTTCCGATTGCGATTTGTAAATTAGCGCAAGGTATTTTCTCGAATTGCAGAATGTCTGAAAATTCTTTTCACTTGAAAATTTATTTCTCGTAGCTGAGTTATAAGTTGTTCAGCGCGTTTAATTCATCGGGAGATCGTCGTCACTTCGCGCTGCGTCTGACTTATCTCGTTTCATTCTACTCGACACGCGCAGCTGGAATAATATCCGCGAAAGCGTGACTCGATCGTACTTTCGATCCAATATGCAGTTATGTGTCAGTCTTAAAGTCAAGTCGGATTTCACTATTGCTTCTGTCCCGCAGCTGTCACTTCATCCGCCGTTGCAGCTCGCATCGGTATGTGTAACTCGGCGTTATGTTTTATTAAACGCATTCTGTTACCATTTCCAAATTAGTTAGTCATAAGCTTCGTCGTATCCGGGGTGGAATAATCATTTGCCCATCCAATTAACAATAATCGCATTAAGTGTTTATATCGGGGCTTTCGGTAGCGGTTAATAAAGTGTAGAGAAAAACATATATATGCACGCACGTATGTAAATTATCATAGCGATAATGGTGGCTTACTTTGTAAGCGTTACTTCACCGCAACACGCTGAAATTTACAATCGTCCATTTTTGTTTATCGTCGCTTTGACCAAGATTATTATACGCGTAATGAGTTCGCTTTAGCGCCCGCGACGATGAATTTAATCAACCGTTGATATTGTCACGGCCGAAACGCCGCACTTTGGGGGCGGCTAAAGAATAGACACATATGTCGCCGCTCTCTGAAACAAAGTTACTGTAACCTAACTATTGTATTGTCTCTTCGTACGGGCGATAATCATCGTAATGAATCTCACCATGTCCGCGATAATGAAGGTATACGCAGCACTGCATCCTATTCATCACACGTTAATTATACAATTGAGGGGGGTTACACGTCAAGGTTTAACTTTGATATTTTCGTCATAACATTATGCGGACCAGCCGCATTTTTTATTTTCGATACTTTTACTTTTTACATTAACGCAACGCGCGAATTTTTAAGATATTGAATTTCTTAAAAATTCAAATTCATGATCTTACACTTCTTGCACTTTAAAAACATGTTTCGCTGATTCTAGAATTCTAAATGTTAAAATGTTTTTGTATCCGTTGGAAAATTGTTTATCGTACGTAGAATTTATACCAACAACATCCAACAATGTATGCAAGAAAATTTAAATCCAATAACCAGGGTTTGGAAAGCATCACCGTTATAACACTACAGTTGTTTTTTTTTTTTTTTCAGTAACAAATTGGTAACGATGTTACTTTTTTTAGTACGGTACAACGATAACTATTTTTGTCAGTAATGGTAATAAATTTAACATTATTTTTATCCTTACTTTTTATTTTGAATTTATTTTATTTTGAATCTATTTGTAACAATTTTTCTATATTCAATATTCAGTCTTCAATCGATATTCATTTTCATTCTTATATTTAAGATCGTTTTAAGAAGTTTATTATAAATCAATCACAGAGTCACATTAGCGTAAGAATTGTCGTCTTTATAAATATCGATCTTTAAAAATTTGTAAACATAAAATTAAAGATAGAAAAAAATGTGTTAACTATATTTACGAATTTATTTATAATTGTATTTACGAATGAAAATCACAATGTTTTTATTTGCAGTCTTTGAGTATTTTAAAAGCTTGTTAAATTTTTTGTAGTCTTGCAAGTTTAAAATAAAAAATTTTATTTCTTTTTTTTGTTTTTACATCGACAGTTTAGTAAAAAATATTATAAAAGTAAATTTTTTACTTAATCTGATTTTGTTTTTGTATTAAAAAAGAAGACGAAAAGAGTAACAAATCGTTCCTTTTTAAATGATGATAACGATAACGAGTTACTTTTAAAAAAGTAATTTTTCCAACCCTGCTCATAATCAAATCACACAGCCACCTTTACGAAGAACGGCTATTATCTGATCGGGCGCCAGATCGAGAGACACTTTTTTGTTAAATTGACAAATTGTTCAGACATAAATTCTATCTCTGTCTATATTGATCAGATACAAAATATCGTTTGCTAATGCTTACCAATCATTTATCCATTTTAGCTAATTTTTCATATTTATATAATTTTCTAGACTGCAAGATTATTTTTTCAGTAGAGGCTTTATTACATTATTCTCATTCCATCAAATTTCTACGTTGGATTATCGTTATATATATATTTTCGGATTCAATATGCCCTCCTCGAACGAGTGGGCCATTGCTTACATTCCGACGATAGACGTGGCGAACTGCAGGAATTTATTGCGAGTCAAACCGTTCATCATTAGGGAACCGACGATAATCATATTTCTTTATTATTATCGGCCTCTCAGAAATCTTTTGTGATGTAGGAATATTTTCCTCGTGTGTATTAAAGAGAAAATATAACGTGACACTTTTAGCAGGCCGCAGATATCAGTATCAATTGCAAACTTTTCCTTCACCCGACGAATAAATCGCGCCGGCAATCTTCGATTGAAAACGCCTCTGTTATTTGCCCCGATATTGCGATAGCCTAAACAGACAGTTCATCTGTCAGGATTACAAGACTAATTAACGAAGAGTAATGAATAGGTTAGATATTTTGCTTTACACGATGCCGCCACGATGAATAAATAATTATAATTCATCATTAATATAAAATTTAATATTCATTAGCAAAATGCTGTTTTAATCCCCGAGATTTTTGATCTGTGAAATAAATGCAAATACAGGAATATCCATGCTTTAATAATACCGCTCTCGTCCCTTCAATTTTTCATCTTTAAAAAAGTATTATGATCCCTTCTTACATTATTTCTGATTTCTTAGGGTCTGTATCATCATATACATACATATATATACATATATTGAATTAAAAAAAAATAAAAGCTCCATCTATCAGCTTTACAAATGATTTACGACAAAGCATTCCTCGGTATTATATTATATAGTATGAATAATTGTTCTTAATACAAAATGAATAATACACGGGAATAATAGCATTAAATTATTTCTATCTACGGATCTCTTTTATAATACATTGTCGGCAGTATATATTGTTTTTCCCTTTGCCGTATAATCCGATATTTTTACTTCATAAACCGTGACAGCACTTTCGAACAATAAATGGATCCTGTATCTGTCAGGTTTACAGTAAGTGTAATTAATGATCAAACATCGATATATTGCGAGACCATTATGTTACACAGATGTGCGAGAAAATATTGTTTGGAAAATTCCCATTTTCCACTTTCGCAAATCCAATTTTTGAAACGTAACCGCGATACAAATTTATTTTGACAAAATCTCGGGATTACGGTATCCTTTGAGGATCCTAACGAACGAGGACCCTCTCAAATTTAAAAGCTCAATTAACCAAAACGAAAATAAACGAACATGTTACGAGCTCGCCGCCTGATGAATATTCTAATGCAATGAATAATATTATTATCAATTTCCGTAATGTTTTTAAAACAGAACGAAGCGTCGAACGATTTATTTTCCAACGTATACAATCAATCACGTCGATATTTTCGCCTGGTAATTATCAATAGTAATAAGATACGATAAAAGCTTGCAGATAAGGAAATACAAATAGTCTAGTGCTTCGTAATTAAAGTCACGCAGCCAATATTGAGTTTGAATCTATCTCTCGTGTTTCTTCCCTCGTCATCTATCCTTTTTTTCCCATCCCCCTCGAATGTCGAGCATTTTTCCGTCGACAGATAGGAGCATAAGAAGTTTCAAACACTGTTCGCCCTTTAATGCAACTGGCGTATCCCGCGATTGTTCGGCCTTATTTGATATGCCACTCGTCTTCGTGCTTCATGAATTTCTCAAATATAAGCTCTGCAAACACGAAAGAAACGTTGTGGACATTTTTCTGCGACGCTGATATCCCTGAATTGGATGAAAATCGTTTAAAAAAAAAAATTACTTTATCGTCCCTCGCAATCATAACAATATATTATTTTAAATTGGAATAAAATTTCACATTTCTTTCTTTAACACTAAAAATACTAAACTGTTGTTTTTTGAGCGTTTCAATTTTTCAAAATTATTTTTTTTCTAGTATCAAAATAGAATTAAAAAAATTTTGATTTTAATTTAATTTTTATTTCATCAGGATAAAGAGAGTAACTGATAAAAAGTTAAAAATTCGAAGATTGTATTTTTAATGTGTGAAAAAATTAAAATAAAAAGAGATTAAAAATAACCGCTCGTTAAAATGTCTTTTTTTGCTTTTTCTTAAAAATGTAAAAAAGAAAAGCAGATGCTGATCCGATGAGATAATTGGAACTAACGTGGAGTACAAGAATACATTTTACAATTCTCGCTTCTACACATCTTCAGCTTAATAAGTGAAGTTAAAGTGGGGAAACTTTTTTAATGACTTCTCGACTGCAGATTGCAGAGCTAGAGCGATGTCTTCGGATAAGTTCGCTATCGCGAGGATTAAGAATCGGGTCATGCTCAATCTGCGTATCAGCGGCGCCTTGAAAACTGCAAGTAGCGCGGAAGTCTCGCAGCGAGAGGAAGTAGCGGCTGAAAAACGGGGAAAGTACCGTTTCTCATCTAAATCTGTAGGAAATCCCCGGCCGTATGAGCACATATGCGTTTCGAATATCTATGATCCAGCGATACAGGCACGTTCTTCGTGACATGACCCGGCAGAAGTTTTCGTGCGGCTGATGTACAAGACGTCTCAGGGATGACTGGCGCTTGCCAGCCCTTCGCGGAAATAATATTTTCCAGTTTGTTTTTACTAAAGTTTTACTTCGGCAGAAACCACTGTATTTTCACGCTTCCACGCAAAGCTCCCACTATATTTCCGAGTATTGTCTTGTGTAACTTAAGAACCAATCGAACAATTCTGCATTTCGATTTCTCCGGCTAAAAAGGATCTTCGTCAAATCCGGGCGTGACATCAGCGCCCTATATATTGCGTCTTGTCGTTCTCCTGCGTCTACGACATATCAGATTGCCGAGAAAATACGAGAACCTCGTATCTAATAAGCTACTTCCACGTGAGAAAAAGAAGAAGAAGAAAAAAAAAAGAAACTTCAATTTTGCGACGAAATGTCGATTTCCGGGAAATCTCCTCGGTTGGCACAACATTATATTGCATCTTATGTAATAAGAGAATACTTAGGATTAAAGAAATTAATTGAAAATTTAATTAAACGGGGAAAAGGAAAGATATTTATCTCGAGCATGTAAAAACGCCCGAGATGCAGCGATAAACGAGTCCACGCTTTTCTTATCGTTTCTTCCCCCAATATTTTCTTCTTCTGGAGCGATAAAAAAAAAAAAGCGTAAAGAGGGACCGAGCGAGCGGATAAATTTTCAGATTTATTTTTTAGGTTTATGAAGGAAGTTACGCTTGTGTCCATATATAACTGAGCCTTCGGCGCTCAATTGCGAAATCTAAACTTCTCAAATACGAATCTTCATCCGATATCCTCGTTAATGATGGGCTAATAAGGGCCCATTATTGAGCCCTGCAGCGAAAGCCAGTGCCTATGCGGGAACACGTCCTATCGCGTGATTTGAGGATTCGTCACGTACCCGATATTAACCGCGAGTTAATGGATTTGGTGATCGCCGAAGTCGGATAAAACGGACGACTCCACGCGATGCGGCTAATGCAATTTCGTCGGGCCTTCGGTTAATTGCGATTTACAGCAATTGTATCTTGTATCGACGCTTGATTGCGCGCGCAAGTATTCCAAGTGATTGAAGGAAACCCGATAAAATCAACACTCTCATAAACGATCCACACAAACAATGTGCATTGAGTTTTATTACGTTTTTTTCTTTTTTTTTATTTACAAGCTTTTTTATATCTCGATGAATTTAACGAAATCTTCTTGACTAAAGTATATATATATATATATATTGCAAATCTTTAATAAAGAATAAAGTAAATAACGCGAAAATAAATATGGTATGCAGAAGGTACAAAGATAGTTCAAAGATTTCAAATCAATTAAAAGGGAACGGTTCTAGCGCGATATTATTAAACTTAAAAATTTTCAGAATTCTAAATTTAGAAGTTTAGAATATTTTAGAATAATAATTTTGAATGAGAATTACTGTGATTTGTGCAATCTATTTCGTGCAATTTTAACGTTGACTACATTGAAAAAATATTTTTAATAAATTTTTAATAAAAGACAAGAGCTTTTCTGTGCGTAATTCTGAATAAAAATGATCTCAAGCGTCGAAAATGCGGCGAATATTTATTAATTTATACATAGATATATCGTCGGTGTTGGCTTTACACGATGGGATTTGACCTTAATGGCACAGTTTTAACGTCAACCGCGAAAAGCCAAAGCTTTCAACGTCAAATTGCGTCATTATTTTATGGTGCTAGATGCGCTTTAGGGACATCCGATACAAGACATTGGAATGATCGTTAAATAAAACGTTACCTTCACGCTACGACTTGCATGATTCATAAATGCACTTTATATGTACATGCGAGATGTATAAATGGTTTTTATCGGAAGCATCAAAAGCATGAAAAAGAAATGGAGATAACCAGCATCAGATGATACATATTAAATAGGTATTATTTCATTAGCTACACAAATCTTTTCTCCCGTGCAATCAATGCAAACATTTTTATTTTTCGGCATAAATAAATAGCAGATTTTCACGTTTGCCGTATGTATTGCCACGCATTAACATGAGATCGTTGCATAGAAATATCGGTTTATATCAGCAATTTTCTGATCATTTCCAAGAGAAGAGGCTATACAATAATCGTAAAATGTTAAAAGTCATCTTTTTCGAAAATTGAAACTGATAAATTTTGCTTTGAAATTTACTTGAAATTTACTCAGATTTTTGTAGAAAAAATGAATTCCTCAAGAAGATTCTTCATAATTTTTTACATAAATCAATTCTCCTTATTATTTTGCAAAAGTATTTTTCCAGTAAAGATATATACATTTTACATTTTTATCTTAATACATGTAAAATCGCTTTTGTTTCTTAATTACAAAATTTATGAGATTTCAAATTTAATTTTTTACATCATGCTTGACACTTAAATGATGAAATAATGTTGTATACTACGCCTTGAAAATCTACAAACATTTTCTAAAAATTGGATTGGTATTTTTACGTGTTTTAACGAAGAATTACGATACTTTAACATGTAACAAGCAGAATGGGCAAATATTTATTTCTAATTTAAATCTGACATTTCGTATGCAATTCGACTCAATATATAATAAACTATATGAATCGAGCACATTCCGTGACAAGCGTAAAAAAAGGTATAAGAAGTATTTGCATGTCCCCAGGGATATGCGTAGCGAGTCATGAAGTAATCTGCGGTGACAGGTAATTGCCGCACCGCTTGTAAACACAATTAATACCCGGAATCTCGTTTAGTTGTTATCGTAAAAAAAAAATTACAACTCAAGGCCCTTACCTTCAGGGTCCTTTCCTTCAACCAATTTTTATTATAAACTGAAACTGACGCGCGTGAAAAAAAAAATAAATTTACTCAATTTGCATTTGAAAAATACGCATATATGCAATCTCTACGATTGTATTATGAAATTTGTCTACATTATAAATCCGTCATCAATCACGAAAGCTCTCCGAAAGGAAGTTTCGACAGCTTTTGTTTTATATAAAAAAAAAAAAATTAAAGTTACAGAACAACCATAAATTTTTCGGAGTAAAAATTTACAGTAAGATCACCAAAGCGCAAATCGTAACACGAACTGCGTTTCTGTTTTTACGCTTTGCAATTGCCGGTCATGAGAGGCTCTTTGCATAAATTATATTATGACAATTGAATCTCTGATTCGTCCTGTTCCCGTATCCTTTCGTTTACGCGTAATTTATCGTGGTCCATTTACAGTTACAGTATCTATATTACATTTGCTTTTATCAAAGAATCTAGTATCATTCTAGTAGCTTCACATCGCTTGGCTCTTTTCTACTTGAAAATGGACATTTCGCGTTCTTTGTATACAAATGAAATGTATACAAAATTGTATACAAATAATTAATGAATCGCAGAGAAAAGTATATAAAGCAACATGATGTGCAAGCAATTTTATTTCGTAAATTATTCCGTAGTCTTGTGTCCTCATAAACATAAAGCTTTTAAATAACGTTTTGCAAAATAGTGACATAGGGACGCATTACAAAACGTAAATCATACACTAGACTACTCAAAAGTTAGTAATCTTTTTTCATCACTTTGCATCTACAAGTTTATGCATATGGTACTAATGTATATAAAATAATTCTGTAACTTTTAGGACTTCCCAATGAGTTAAGCGTGTTTTGGCAGCAATATCCATGGACGCTCGGAGTGGGTTTGTGCAAAATACGAGCATATGTTTCAGAAATGTAAGTTCACAGAATAAAAAATTATCAAAAATATAAGATAAATAAGGAAAAATGTAAATTTAATAATTTAATTGCAAACTCTACAATTTCAAAGCGCAACGCAATTAAATAATTTAAATAATTTATATTT